TCCTTGCTTCCCCTCGCATTCAAAGAATTCCAGCAAATATGAGTAGCTTTCCCTCCTTGGGCCTCAGTTTCCCCATGTGGGAAAAGAGAGCTTTGACCAGGAGGTCCACCAATTCTGTGGATGTTCTCCAGTTTCTGACAAGTCAGCAAATGTTGAATTTATGGGATTTTCTTGTTTAGTTAGCTAGTTAACTTTGGTTAACTTATTTTCATTTTTGTCTTCTTAAGTGCATTTTAAAATTTTTAAATTTTTATCTGCCTCAGCACCCTGCAGTTGTAGCTAAAGACTGGTGGGAAGAATCGTGGTGAGGGTTGCTGTGAGTGAGAGATAATGGAGACCGAGGACAGGGAGACGGAGAGACCAAGGGGCAGAGACGGGAATGCAGGGCTCAAGAATATGAGGAATTGTTATCATACACTTCATGGATAAACTACACTAATAAGAATATACCCATGAGAATTTATATTCAAGAATATATTATAAACACATTATTTGTGGATCTACTCATAAGGAAATATTCAAATTTTTATGTATTTCTTAACATCCTTAAATATATAAAGTAAGAGGTGAAATAACTAATAGTAAAATAGAGAAATTCTGACTCAGGAAGGGATTTCAAGGAGACTCTTAGATAATGATAGAACAAACAAGCTAAAAAATGAAAAAAGATATAGATGATTTGAACAATATGATTAACATGTTTTATTTATTGGTGATATATAGAACATTGCACCCAGTTTCTGCAGAATATATAATCTTTTCAAAACACATGCAACTACCAGAATGGCTAAAATTAAAAAGAACAACAGCCCTAATTCTTGGTTATACGTGCAGCAGCTNCCAGAATGGCTAAAATTAAAAAGAACAACAGCCCTAATTCTTGGTTATACGTGCAGCAGCTATAATTCTCATACATTGCTGGGGGAGTGTAAAATGGTAAAACCACCTTGGGAAACAGTTTGGCAGATTCTTAGAAAGATAAACGTACATCCGCCCCATGATCAGCAATTCCGCTCCTAGGTGTTTATGTAAGAGCCATGAAAATAAAATTTAAAGAAGACTTGCCTAAGAACGTTTATACTAAATTTATTCATAGTAGCCAAATTGGAAACAAAGCAAATATCCATCAATGGGTGAATAGATAAGCAAACTATGACGTATCCATACAATGGAATGCTATTTGGTAATAAAAGCAAGTGAACTATTGATATATGCAACAACACAGATGCATCTCAAAATTATGCTGAGTGAACAAAGCCAGACCCAAAATATTATATATCGTATGATTCCATTTATATGAAATTCCAGAAGAAGGAAAACTAACCAGTGTTGCTTGGTTGCTGGGATGGGAGAGGGGAGTAGGTACGGAAACAGATTGGGAAGAGACATGAGAGAACTTTCTGAGATGATTAAAATTATCTATAACTTTACAGGAGTGAGGGTTACATGCGTGTGTGCATTTGCCAAAATGCCTTGAACTGAAAACTTGAAACCTGTACATCACACTGTGTATACACCTCAATCAAAAATTATACCTCAGTTTAAAAAGGACACACAGCATTTACAAAAATGAATCAGATGAAAGTGTCAACAAATTTCAAAGTCATAATATATAGAGTATGTTGTGTGACCACAAC